GTTTCCTAATGTTCTTGGTAACCCAGGGGAGACTATTGGATGGGCGGGATGTCTTACTGGGAATATCTTCATCCCTGGACTTGAGCAAGGTTTGTTTTAGCCTATTATAATTGTCAGCAACAGTGCATTGAGTGGGGTCCTTGGCAAAGTATTGCTCTTTAAATTGACGCATATCTTCACGCATCTGGTCAAAGTTTCCTTTATTAGCTAAGAAAACTTTACGCCTTGGTTTCTTGAGAAGCTTAGGTTTTGACACAACAGAAGTTACCACTACGTCGTGATCGCCCAATCCAGGCCTGACGACACACTCCTGGAGTTTAGTAGGCAAGTTGGTCAGGACAAGATCAAGTATGTTGGATGTCGTTGCGGTTACTCTGGTTGGTTCTTTGGTCAGCTGCGTAAGATGGAACTCGTCGCAGATTGTGAGCAAATGATTTCCATGGTGATCACCAGGAGCAGGTGGTTCTGTGAGCCAATCAATCTCCGAGCAGTTGAAATCACCAGTTAAGACGACAAAAGGCATGGTATTCTTCTGGTAGACTTTACCTAAGGATTCTTCAAGTCTGTTCCAATATTCAACAAGTTTACTTGGCGCCCTGTAAAAGTTCCCAACATAAAGTGGTTTGGCATCCTGGAGATGAATACAAACCCATATTATTTCACAATCGGTGTCCATTTCCGGGCAGTGAGTACTGACGAGGTTTGATTTGACAGCTGTTATAACACCACCTCCCCCACGCTTTCTGTCCTTGCGGTACACGTTGAAATGCGCAGGGAACAATTCTTGGGAGGAGATATCGCAGTCGACTTTAGATTCTGTTACACAAACAATATCAGCATTATGTTCGTCAATGAGTGCATGAAACGGAGCAACTTTGTTGCTCAATCCTTCAGCGTTTATTGTCAGAATTTTAACGTTGCATTTTCCAGTCAGTTTGACTTTAGGGAGTCTAGGTTGGTTATTTCTTTGTTCAGTTTTCTCAGTGCTATCAACAACAGGTGCCGAATCCCTATTTCTGGGTGAACTAGTACGCGTTGGAGGTGGTACGTGGTCTTCATCACTCAAGCCAGAAGATAGCGAACTGTTACGTAGGTGCAGGATGCCCCCAGTAGCGTTTTTGTGCAGTAAGTCCCAATAGCAAGGGCTGTCAGCGCCAGCCGACATGGCTCTCATGTGTCGCGGTCTAAAGGTACCTTAACATAAATGGATTTTGACAAACTATAGCTTGTTGGATAGCGGATGAATAGGCCAACAAGCTGACAAATCGGCAAGGCTTCAAACTTGAAACTTTTGGAGTGAGCCCAAGACGTAGATACATGATGCCCCCAGTTTCGTTTTTGTGCAGTAAGTCCAATAGCAAGGGCTGTCAGCGCCAGCCGACATGGCTCTCATGTGTCGCGGTCTAAAGGTACCTGAACATAGATGGATTTGGACATACTATAGCTTGTTGGATAGCGGATGAATAGGCCAACAAGCTGACAAATCGGCAAGGCTTCAGACTTGAAACTTTTGGAGTGAGCCCCAGACGTATGCAGAAACTCTTTTGGAAGTCAGAGGAGCACCAATCCATACTCAGGCACTTGATATGTTGAAGATTTGGGCAAAAACCATCGATTTTGTGAGAAATAAATTAATGTAAATAAACCATGTAATTTTTATTCATCTATAGAAATTGCCCTGTGGAGACGTATACAATCTTTTGTTCCCTATTGTGTGCATGTCTCCAGAGGGCACGGCGTATCAGATCTGCCAATGATGAGTTTCCCCTCCATCCCAACTGCAACAGTAATGGTTAGCACATAAACGATTTCTAGGGGTCTAAAATGGAAGCTCCTTTCCTCAAACATAATACAAGAAAAACAATCATTTTACAGACACCTCAAGTATCCTTATTACCAGTAGCACAGTTTATTTCTAAAAAATACATTTTTGTCCATCCGAATACTTTTCTGATTTTATACAAATACAGTTTCACTAATAATCCTCTGAGTGGAAACAATTTAGGTGCTAGTGAAAAATTATACATTAATTTCATAAATACAACGTGAATGCATAAATTATTCGTGATAATCACTTTCTTATTACCCATAAATAGAAGATGAAGTCGAAGACACATGACTTGCAATATCCAATCAGCAACGCTTACAAAATTTAAAGGCATGATAATGACCTCCGACACTACAAATCGTGACTGGCTCATTATTGGCTCCGTGTACAAGTACCCCCTCAACGGCAAGAAAGAGAGAGTTGGGGGAGACCATCGTGGAGATCAATGGGAGAGATTCGAACACATCGTCGACGATGCTCACACGCTGCTATGGCCTTGCGCACTGAGAAATACACGCGCGAACCAGTACGCACGTGCGTCCCGTCGTGTCCCGCCCACGGGGCTCTCAAAAGTGGTCCAAAAACGCCCTCTGTTGTTGGCGCACCTAGCCCATACAAAAATTCACTCGTACCCCCGCCCTGCAAACAGGACGCTGGGATACTCTGATGAGCTTCACAGAATCTTGTGAAGGAAGTGGCCTATGACCTATGTATAAAGCATCTGGCTGCAGCTGTTCAAGGCCGCAGTTAGACAATGTGCGCAAATGCTATCCGAAAACTTCCTATAGAAATGCGCACATTCCATACCGGATGTGATTCTGTTTCATTGCGGACCATGTGGACAAAATTGTGAGCGTCGCATGATGCAATCCGACCGTTCGTGACCTTGCACTTGCAGAGTCATGACCTTGATGACGCGCAGGTCACTGGTCACGCAAAATCCAACCAATCAGAGTGTGAATTCATCAGAGTATCCCAGCGTCCTGTTTGCAGGGCGGGGGGTACGAGCGAAATACAAAAATATGCAAAATGGAAAGGAATGTGCATATCTGCTTATGAAAATATAACAACTATTACTTTCATAATCTTGTATGCTAAAGTCATTTTCAGTACATTGGGTCATCTCCAGAAAAACGGAATACATTGCATACTATAAAATGTACATGCCTCGACAACTATAAACTGGCAAAAACTAGAGTACTTGATCGATGCTACATATTTAGGCTAGTAAAAGAAATGTCATCTCGTAGTGACTGTTATATTTTACACATGAAAAAAAAAAACCTATGAAATCACGTAAGGAATGCATTTGCATAAAATAGTAAAATTGACCGAATGTTTAAGTTTACGATTAAAAATACTGGATCACCTTAAAACACACAAATGTGAAGATTTTGAGTTTTCAATTGCACAAAATTAAAGAGAATAACAAAGTTTTTTAATTTACAATTAGAAGTTCGGTGCTTCACCGAGGTATTAAAATATAACCCCATAATTCGCCCCTCTATTTTAATTGCCACTATCCCCACCCCTTAACCACACCCTAAACTCCTCCCCTATTAACAAGACACACAACAGTTCGGCATGATCACACATTATAAAGACATTGTAAGGCACAGAGACATTTTGTGACAGTAGAATTAACATTCCTACAAAATATATACACAAACACTTAAGATTAAGATGCATCTTGAGATAACGTCTTTTACATTAACCCCAACCTTCCCAAATCCTCCGAAATCCTCTTTGCAAAATGCAGGATTTTGCAGGATTGGGGCTACATGGCAAAAGTGTGTTGCTGATTTCGGAAGATGCACTGTGTCACGGTCTTGGGCCGGACCTTGTGTTGTTTATGCTCAGCCGTGCATAAATTTAGGCCTAGATTATACTTGAAATCCTCCGCACTGCTCCAGGATGTCACTGGCTCTGCCTCAACATGCTGACAGTGATTGCTGGAGGATTTTGCAGGATTGAGGCAGTGGTCACCCCTCCAAGGACCACATTTAAGAAATAACGGAAGATTTTGCAGGATTGAGGCTGTATGCAATTTTACATGGAGGCAGTTGGAGGATTTTGCAGGATTAAGATTGCATCCTGGCAAAAATGCCTTGGGAGTTAGGTTAATAATTCAAATATTTAAAGGCATGTAGGATCATTTGCATTTATCCAAGGGGTAACCTATCCAATTATTATCAAAAAAAGCTTACTTGGATTCAAGATTGTACTGGTACTAAACACCCCGTGAATTGATTCCGTCTGGCTTGCTGTCATTTAGAAGAAATTGAGAAATGTAGGTGATTTCCAACGATCAGTCAATTGACTTTAATTTTAATATTAAAGAGTGCTACGGACAAAATCGTGTGTCGTGATCAAAAGGTTGTGCATGATTTTTCACTGTTTTCTTGGAAAGTGTATCATCCACTGAGCTGAAACTTCAACAGGTTAGGTTTCGAACAGGTTAGATTTTCAGTAGTGTTATGATTGAAAAAAATGGATGAAAAGCAAATGATCCTCAATGTATATACAATGTACATTCATGTCTTTAAACAGTACAAGTTTATAAGTGTCAAGTACGAGTACGCACAGTCAATAAAACGTATCTCCTGAATAACTACGATTAACACAAGTATCGTGATAAAAAAACATCCCAAATTGGACTGAATTACATAATTGGATCAAATGCACAAAACAAAACCTGGTATGTAAAGCCCGGTTCATACTTAATGCGAATGCGGAAGCGAATTTGACGTCATGAAACATTCGCTGCAAAATTCGCCCGAGTTGAAATATGTTCAACTTTTGCGAATTTGTAGTGTGAATACTTGCTATGACGTCACAACTTGGCGTTCGCTTTTTACTTTCGCACGGAGTATGAACCGGGCTCCACACAGTTCACCACTTTTCTTTCAATGGACTGAATACAAAAAAAAATACACATGAAAATATTAATTTCCAGCCATTTGGTGCTAGACCTGTGACTGGACCTTTAATAATGGTGGGACTGGTATTCTGAACCAAAGAAAAAAGATAAATAAAACAATTTTTTGAATTTTATATTGTATATACTTTTTTTTGATAACACTGCAATTGACTATTTGAATATTTTGTCGAAGGACAAGAAAGAACAAACAAGCTGGATTCCATGGTAACGCACACTGGCACATTTTTTTTAAAGCAACCTTCAATTATCATTTTCTTTTGAACGATACAATTTTAGGCGGAATAATTTGAGTATTTGGTACCATCCCTATTTTAAATTTGAGCAAGTTTTTTTTTCTTCACAATATCGGTAGGTCCGTTTCCGGGTTATTACTAATGTTCCGACCTGTCTTTAAGAGATCCTTTCTTGTAAAAACAAACAAAAACCGAAGAAAAAAAATACACTGTAAAAACACTTCCAAACTGATCCCTTTGCAGAGAATAAGAGTTGACTCACAATTATAAATATACAAACAATTTCACATTGGTGGATCGTAAGACTCTTGATGTCTTGCACTCGCAGGAAAAAAAAATTAAAAAATTAACACCTTTTCGCATCTGTACCTAAAACAAATAAGACAAAAAAATGTTTAAACACCCACGAAATGAATATCATCTCAGCTGAATTAATGCTTAAGGAATTTTTTTTTGCCCTGCAATGGCAGACCTTTTAACCCTACCCCTGCTACAGAAAGCAACAAAGGTAAAAAGTTGTTGCATTCTGTTGCATTTAGCAGGCAACTCGAGTCCCTGTGCTTTGTTGCATCTTGTTGCATTTAGCAGGGTAACTGCTCATAGTACCAAGGCAATACAACAGAATCTACTGTTTCAGTTTGTTGCATTTAGCAGGGTAACTGCTCGGTGCCAAGGCTGGTATGCACTGGGTTCACTGCACAATGCAACAGAATCCACTGTTGCATTTGGTTGCATTTAGCAGGGTAACTAATCATAGTGCCAAGGCAATGCCACAGAAGCCACCGTTGCATTTGGTTGCATTTAGCGGGGTAACTGATCATAGTGCCAAGGCCATGCAACAGAATCCCCTGTTGCATTTGGTTGCATTTAGCAGGGTAACTGATCATAGTGCCAAGGCCATGCAACAGAATCCCCTGTTGCATTTGGTTGCATTTAGCAGGGTAACTGATCATAGTGCCAAGGCAATACAACAGAATCCACTGTTGCATTTGGTTGCATTTAGCAGGGTAACTGATCATAGTGCCAAGGCAATGCAACAGAATCCACTGTTGCGTTTGGTTGCATTTAGCAGGGTAACTGATCATAGTGCCAAGGCCAAACAACAGAATCCACTGTTGCGTTTGGTTGCATTTAGCAGGGTAACTGATCATAGTGCCAAGGCAATACAACAGAATCCACTGTTGCATTTGGTTGCATTTAGCAGGGTAACTGATCATAGTGCCACGGCAATGCAACAGAATCCACTGTTGCATTTGGTTGCATTTAGCAGGGTAACTGATCATAGTGCCACGGCAATGCAACAGAATCCACTGTTGCGTTTGGTTGCATTTAGCAGGGTAACTGATCATAGTGCCAAGGCAATGCAACAAAATCCACCGTTGCATTTGGTTGCATTTAGCAGGGTAACTGCTCGGTGCCAAGTCTGGTATGTACTGGGTTCACTGCACAATGCAACACAATCCGCTGTAGCAGTTTGTTGCATTGCATGGTTCTCACTTCAGTTGTGTTGGATATTGTTGCACTTAGCAGGGCACCTGAAGAAAACCGGATGGGGTTAGGGTTAAGTGCTATGGAGGGATACTTGTACGCATTGGTGCGCACCACATCAAAACAGTTTGGTCCCCATTCAACTTCAAGTAAACATGCAAACCAGCTCTACGCTAACTCTCAACGTACCTTCCCTCAGAGTTTGTGATGTTGTAAGAAAAACTTGCGGTGTTCATAGCCGGCCGGCTTTGACATCTCCCATCATGCCCCAGAGGTCGTAGACGAAATCCTCGCTTTCTAGGTCCCCGAGCTCCTCCAACACGGACGTCATGAAGCCCGGGAAGTCTGAGTTTCCCTTGAACAGCCCCACCAGCGTCTCAGCTGAAACAGTCAAAAGAAGGCCAAATGTGAAAGTTGGGGCTAAATGTACACAGAAGTGCGGTTACAGAAAGCGGAAATGAAAAGCCGCACATGTGTCAGTCTATATATTTAGGGTCCAAAGTGTGACATTTTTCCTGTCCCTGTAATATCGGAACCTTGGTGCTTTGTAATGTGCCATTCAAGTATCATCAAAAACGACTTCAAACAAATTTTGTTTTGTTGGGTAGGTAGTTTGCTATTCATACTCACTCTTGGAGGATGACTGCTTAAAGAGTGCATCAGAATTATACAATCATAGATGTCAGATGTAACAGAAACAGGAAATACAGTAGACCCCGAAGTTATAGAATAACCTACATGTATATCACGTTAGCAGGAATACACACAGAAGTATGTAAATCAATGCAAATTAATGACCAAGCGCCATGCATTGTTTGATCAAGCAAAATTTTTGAAAAAATCGCTCTGGTTTCTACGCACAGCGGTTTATTGTTCTATCTCGCGGTAATGTTCACGTACCCTAAAATACCTAACCACACAAATACACGTATGCATGCAGACAATGCATCGGGTATTTGTTTTGCTATATACATTTGCAATTTTCTGCAAGTTTATGCCTTTCGTATCACCCCTTAGCCAGTTAAATCCGATAATATTCAACTATGACCATTTTCTATTGGAGCTTGTTGTTTTTGAGCAGCAAACAAAGATTTTGTTGGGAATTTGTTAGATATTTTGTAGGATAACAATGGATTCAGTGAGATTATCTTTTTTTTACCCTAACCACCCCAACCCTTCAGAATCCAACTGCATGTTTTGTTGGAATCTGTTGGAGTGAGTACTGCACTAGTAAACTGATTATGCTTTACATGGGGTCAGGCATACCACCATAATCAGAGTCCAACAGTTTGGGAGTAGAGTTACCATTTTGGATTTTTGCAAGAGTGAGGAAGGATCCTTATAAATCACTCAAGGGGTTAGGGTTAAGTTATATTTGTTTTCACTACTTTTCTGGGATAAGATAGCTACTGTAAAAATCACTGACTATCCCATTCACTACTGCCCGTACAGATAGTGTTTTCAGTGTCTACATTTTTATGGCTATAAATACAATAAATTGAGTCCATTGTGTTTGTAGTCTCTAGCACAATTGACCTTTGGAAGGCAAACACAAAGTACAAGTGCACTCAAATAGTTCAAGATCAACGGGGAAATAAATACAGCGCATTATCAGTGAAAACACACTCCGCACCATTTTGTTTAGGATCACTTGTAAAATTGTGCTCAGTATTAAAAGCAACACAGGGGCGCTTCATTTCCAAACGACCTTCGGAAACAAACAATTGAAAATAATTTTCAACAACTCACAGAAGGTCACAAAGGACATCAAATTTCCCACTTGAACAAACATGTACTTTGTGCAAACTCCGATGTCATTTTCACTGCATAAGACCAGAACGCCATTCTGGGGTTTGCATCTTCATCCTATTTTTGAAGTGCATTTTTTAACCATTTAAAAAGTCTAGCTGTAAAGGCAATATACAACATTTGCAAACATCCAAAAACAAAACTACTAAATCATTATGAAATACCTTACTTGACTGTAAGTGAATAATAGTCTTAAGCATCCTGTGAAATCATGGCACCTGGTGTCCTGTCATTTTTTTAATAAAAGTGGAATTTTGTCTTTTTCAAATACTGCTCCCAACTTTAATATAGCCTAAACTTTAGTTAGTCTACATTTTATTTACAATCGGTTACACAACAACGAAGGGGTGCAAGCCAGCTAGTCTGGTTCCCTGACCTGACGTCTATAAATTGCTCCATTTCGTCTGAAGTAGGGTCAGGGAACCAGACTACAAGAGCAGCATTTTGTTTCTTGGTTTTTCCAGCATCTTTGAACACAAAAATTTAAACAGGTCAGTGTAACAATATTTGCTTAAAAAATGCTAACCCCCATATATGTCCATTTCTGAAAATTGTACAGCAAAAGCAAATGTTGTATATTGCCTTTAAGCGCTAGGGTTGCCAACTAATAAGCATGTTGGGAACAATTGAACAATATACACATGTATTAGACATACATGTACATGATCTGATACACCGTGCCCTCTGGAGACATGCACACAATAGGGAACAAAAGATTTTATACGTCTCCACAGGGCAAATTCTATAGATGAATACGTCTCCACAAGGTTTTCAGGAAATAGATATATGGATTTTACTCAAAAACTAGGAATTTCCAAGGTGGGTTGATCTGTCGCAAATGGAAGAGTTTTAAAAAAGGGATTAAAAGTCCGAATTTCAGCCAAGGAAATTAATTCTGGTTAAAATAAGAGTATTTTGAAACTGTACTTTCAAACTCGAAAACTTTAGTACACGAGAACAAAGAAATGTCTCCACAAGGATACAAATTTCAGTATGTATGTTCACACACAAAAATCTAGAAAAAAAATCTGAAAATTTTTTAGAATTATAAACATACCGAGTGTTTCGTCTCTGATACCGAAGAAGCTCTCGAGCATATCGTCGCACTTTGCTATTGCATTTGTCTCAAATTTGTCGGGCTAGAAGGGGAAAAAAAATAAGAAATGAATACAAAAACTTACTAAAACAGGAAACAGTAAACATTTAGAAGAGCTGTATAAAAGTAATGATAGCATGTAAGATTCTAATGCTTGTGTACGCACTGTCTTGCGTAAAGTAAGGCACAGTGAATTTATAAACGTATGAGCTTCAAATGTCTGAGTATGCATGGACAAATTGAATTTTCTGGAATACACAAACTACTACGTGTCCAAAAAAACATGTCCTACTTTTGATCCTAAATAATTCTTTTGTTTTATGGAATTAAACCAAAATTGTCATGACAACTTTAACCCTAACCCCCTAGGCCCTTGTTGCTTACAACCATCCTCAATCCTCCAAAATACTCCAAAATTTTGCAACTCCGCCTAAATTTTTCAAAATTGTCAGACAGTCCTGCCTCAAAATGCATTCATCCTCAATCCTCCAAAATCCTCCTCATCCCAAAACTTTGCGCTCGTGTTTAAATGAAGGATAACCAACGCCAAATCCTTCAAAATCATCAGACAGTCCTGCCTCAAAATGCATTCATCCTCAATCCTCCAAAATCCTCTTGTGCTTCATTCACCATTCATCCTCAATCCTCCAAAATCCTCATGTGCTTCAATCACCATTCATCCTCAATCCTCCAGAATCCTCATTTGATTCAATCACCATTCATCCTCAATCCTCTAGAATCCTCCAAAACCTTCAGGAGGATTTTGGAGGAGTGAGGTGGGTTAGGGTTAATGGAACGAGTTTCATCAGCTTTGTGCAAGAGGGTGAACAAAATATTCACTTTCAGAAAATGATCTAAAATTTTGGTTTAATTCCATTGGTTAAACAAAGGATCAAATGTAGGACATTTTTCTTTTAACACATGGTACTACATGCTTACGGCACATACATGTACATTCATGTAGACTGGTATCATGGTATGTGTATTTGTGTTATGACAAGTCACTGTATGTACAAAGGAATGAATCCTTTCCAAAATATAACATTTATGATGTCCATGAACTGCTTGTTATTATACAAGATGTGAGTTATGGCAGGCCAGATGGCATTTAGGAATTACATATGTACATGTATCATCAAAATCCAAGTTCTAATAACAATGAGGCTCATTATGCACAAAAATATGATGCTACATGTAGATATGATATGATATAATATGACGCTACATGTCGAAATTGTAGAGTCACAATTGAACAAAATATTATAATACATTGTATAATATTTCGTTCAATCCTGACTCTACAATTTCGATCAACTTTTTTGTAAAAATGGTACTTAGCAAAAATGCTAGGAAATTCACTGTTCAAGGCATAAAATAATGCTCTTCAGATTTCTGTACACATCGACAATACAAACTTTGTTTTTAAACAAAAAGGCACCCACTAAGCTTTACCCTCTTCTGAAATCTATGTTTTCATTACGGTATGTACAGCGCCCAAAGACAATAGTACCCAGTTTACATGATTTGCAACTTAAAAGTAGAGTATCATTTGTCATTTGTGCATTTTGTTTACATTTCAAGCAACAAAAGTGCCCAAATCTAAAGAAGGGTGCTTAACAACTAACCTGATGAAGTTTTAGCTCAGTGAATGCTGTATATATTCCGAGAAAACAATATTCTAGGATCTCGATTTCAATTCAAAAGTTGCCGAGTCACGTTTTGAATTGCGCCCCAAGCAGGAGGTCGTGGGTTCGAGTCCCACCCGAGTGATTTTTTTTCCAACTTCAACTCGGGAGGTTAACACACTGAGTATACAGCGTTTATACGTCAGTGAAGGGCAAAACCTAATATTGATTGTTTATTCGATACCTCTATTTCCCTTTTGCACTTTGATAAAGACAAATTATATAACACACAGGGGGTTTTGCAGTTAATAACACCAGATACCTAGACACAAACTCCCCACGAGGTTGGTTGGAAACCACGGCAACCCTCACCTCATCCTTGACGATCTCGGCCGGTCCCGAGCTGTGCAACCGCAGTGTCTCTCGGCCGGTCCCCACCTTGTCCTCCGTCGGCATGGCAGCCATGGGCGAGGGCGCTGGAGGGGCGGCCGAACGAGGAGCGATTTTGGCTAAAAAAGAGAAAGAGATAAAAGGCATGTAAACAAAGGCCAATGGGAAAATATGTACCGGTGTGAACTCTTACAAGCAGCTACATGTAAATCTATCACTATCATTTGTAGTAAAAACAAATGTAATTTATGTGTCAACTACAGGTCTCCAGTTTAGAATTTGGTGTTTGAGGAGTACGTACATGTACACGCATATTTGTACGTGTTATCTTTTCAAACCGTGGACGAAAAATACCAGAGAACAAAAGAGAACAATATCGTCCACGATTCCCAGCATATGTCCGCGATTGGGGTCGTGTACAAAACCTATGGGAGTCTTCCTAAAAAGAGTACAAACAAAAGAGGGACAATAGGATGTCCACGATCGATGGTGAACACACGTTTGTGTGTCCGTAGTTGTGGGGACTACACACGAGTTATCCCATGGTACTATGGGGACCGAAGACGCTGTGGGGACAGCAGAAAGTCCCCATAACTCGGTCCTAATTTGCCTAACAATAAAAAACTTCCCTTTAACGCAGTGGAGTGTTTTGGGTTTTTTTTTTGTGCAGACACAGTGGTCATTGAATCCTGCAAACTACATGTATACCCAGTCATTGGGAGGGCATTGCATGTGGCACCTCACTCATCACTTTTTGTTGGCATGACTGTGAGCTGGATGGGAAATTCCAGTGAAATCAGATAACTGTTTTTCAGTTTGAAAAAAAAATAGGATAACCGTATTTAGAAATATCCGTTTTCTCCCACCACTGGTATACTGTTTTCGTGGTATTGTGGGTCCACAATGTCAATTAAATTTTTACGTTTTTTTACAGTTAAAATCTAGGGCCCCCCTCCCCAATAAAATCTAGGTTTTTTTCTAAAGAACCACGAGTTTAACTACATGTAACTTTTAAAAAAAAACATATACTTGAGGTTAATTTGCATTCCTGTATATACCGTATAAGTACACTATAACTTAAGGACATGTACACATACATGCATACAATTTATTATGCATGCATATTACTGGTAGGTTAGGGCCTATTATGGCAATTTAGTATATAAATGAATTATTGAACCCAGTGTAGAAAGGTTGTCCATGTGTCAATACGTATACATTCAATGCAATCAGTAAGGCCAATATTGAACTACCGGAAAAGGTTGGGGGTTTGTACACACGGATTAATGTGAAACCACTAGACATTTCAATTTGCTTATTACACAACGCTGTTCCATAATAAGCTTTAATACGATATGTACACAGTAAATACAGCTCCAAAATATACCACGTACATGTACATTGTATGTGCATGAAGTTTGAACCCAGTAAATATGAATAATTTACAGCACAATTGCATGGACCAGAGGTTGTTTCCTATATTGCACATGTGTACATGTATCTTCATGCTCTAAGGTAGATTTTTTTTGCTAGAGCTAAATAAAAAAATAGGTTTTAATTCTCGACCTGAAACAATAATTTCGCTATACAACAGTAAGAGGCATGACAGTTTTGTTTAATTAGGCCTGCTTGTTTCTTTTATAACTGTATTTCTTAATAACCTGTGGATTTTCAATTGTACAGCGCTTTATGATGTCTTTTTGACATGGAAAGCGTTTTTTAAATAATTCATAATATTATTATTGTTATGTTGGGGCGCTACAGTGGGTTAACATGGTCAACATGTGAACTGAAATGCATGTATTTCAAATTCAATAATATTGGAGATAAACTATTAAGATTTATTGTCGTCCTGGAATATTTCTGTTATCAGGTCACTGCTATCTGAACTTTGCACTGATCTTTTTCAGATTACCACGATACTACTGTGTTCCATGTATGCCCAGGTACTGCACGGTACACATGCACATAATGTACATGTACATGTATGCTTCAGCTGTAGATGTATAGCCAGGTACATTAGGCCATCAGCCTCAGTCCAAAATGTTGGCCACCGGTATCAAATGAGGGGAATAATCGTCAAAGCGATTTTTGGCAAGTTTTCATCTCCAGAGTTGGAAAATATGTGATAGCATTGCAGCGGTGGCAGCTTTTTGGGTGTTATCACCCTTTTTCAAAATGACCATCAAAATGCTGGTTACCACTCTAGGGGCGGTATACCTTGCGCATGCGCACTATAATCATTTATGCTCTGATTTAATACTGGCCAAACCCCCAGGCTGATGGCCTACATGTAAATTTACCAGTGTACACAGATGCTGATTATTGTTGTGAAAAATTGTTATCATTGTACAATGTAATATTCATGTATGTATACTACACGTGGAATTACACACCTTCCACATGGGATTTTGCCATCACATGTATGCATGTGCACGTGTGCATTGCACTTTTCTTGACTAAATGAGACCTTCCAATTGACCTATCGCGGTAGAATCGCGTTAGAATCACATCAACGCAGCTTGGGAAATTTTATCCAATTACATGATATACAAATGGACGCGGAATGCGCAAAATCTGAGACAAACAAAACTTAGTGTACAAAAACTCCATAGGGTTGTCTAAGGGGCGTGGCTAACTCGCAAACGGCAATAGGTCAATTAAACAGAACCACCCTTTAAAATGTGTAAACATGTTTTCTTTTAAACCTCCTGTAACAGTGTGGTTATGTACCTAAGACTAAAAGGGTAAGCTCAAAACAGTAAAATTTAGAGGTAATATATACTGCTGGGCGAGTAACACAATTACTCGAATACTCACGAGTAGTTTTTTATGCTAATCATTGTTCTACTCATGGTTTTTCATCTATTCGAGTACTCGTCCTGGCGCGAGTAGAAGTTGGCACTCGCAAGTAGCAATTTAGGGTTTAGGGTTCATGGCTTAATATGTCCCCTTCAAACAGGGAATCACTCCCTCCACCTCTCTCTCCCTGGGATTCTATTTGTAAAAAAAAACCTGTTATTTTTTGCCAATGAGGAATTGCATATAACTCATGTATTTTCAGTAAGCTCTGTAGATATCAGAATTTTGAATAATCAATATATCAGAAATCCAATATTGAGAATATTCAATGTATCAATTATCCCATGTAAAAGTTGAAGACCATAAAGATGACACTTTGATTTGAAAAAAAAAATTGTTTTAAATCTTAAGTCCCAATTTTCCACGGCTTTTTCTGGAGCATATTGCTCAAACTTTTTCAAAAAAATCTCAGCACTGAGAGTTTGTCCAGAACGAGTGGATTCTTTTGAGGTTTTACATTGGGGAGACCATGAATTCCAGCGAACGCAGAGCAAAAAGCGACGCCGCTTGGCATTTCGCGATGTTTTTATTTCGAGTCACAAGCACAAGTTGCCGCCAAGTTTTATTTCATTATACAGCAAACGTTAAACACAAAGTAAAAGCACAAACGGGAGATTTATTTTGACGATAATCTGATGTATTTTCGATATCATTCCTCAAGATCGAAAATTTCGATATTTCGACATGATTACAAAAATTGATATCGGTGATATCGAGATCAAAATAATATTGAAAAATCGAGTAATATCGAATTATCGATAGTGCTTAAAGGGAATATACATCATTTGCTTTTGCTGTAATTTTCAGAAATGGATGGAATTGGGGGGGTTGGAAATATATAGCAAATATAGTTACACTGACTTTTTTGAGGTTTTGGGTTCGAAAATGCTATAAAAACCAAGAAAAACTATCATTTTCCTGTAGTCTGGTTCCCTGACTCTATTTAAGAAGAAACAGAGCAGTTTACATATATTGGGGAATTGTAAGGTCAGGGAACCAGTCTAGCTGGCTTGTACCCGTTCATAGGTGTGTAATCGATTGCAAACAAGTGCGATGGTCAACTGGGGCCAGTATTTGAAAAAAAGCCAGTTTTTTTCCAATGCTGATCGGCCGATCAGTGTTGGAAATTGATACAAAAATACCACTTTTCTTGAAAATGACAGTATACCAGGTGCCATGATTTTACAGGTCGCTTTACACTGTCATTCACTAACACTAACAGTCCTGCAAAGTTTTTCAAAATGATTTGGTAGTTTTATTTTTTGATGTTTGCAAATGTTGTATTTTCCCTTTAAATTTCAGTTGGTGATATGATACGTGCGCCAATTATACTGTAAACATCCACGTAGGTATTTACACAATTATGTATTGAAAAAGCATCCCCGCAACATGCCACGGAGGCAAAATAAATGCAAATGTCAGTCATGGCTTCTGGCTAATGGGATTCCATTTCCTTATCTTACCAGGTGCAGCAGACGTGACACGTCCATATTATGCATGTGACATTTATTCAATAATTCATGTCAAGCCAGGCATGCAACTAGGAATTTAGAAAAAAAACAAGGATATTTCAAATCACACAAGACTTTGTTTGTACAGTGTTTTTCAATTTGTAATGGCATTCATGAGTAGAAACCCTCATCTCCTAGGTATTTTTTGCTGAAACCTGATTCCAGTAAATTTCAACGCTTTAATGGATTTGGGCAGATTTATAGCATAATGGTTAGAACGATGCAGTACATGTAATATTTTGGCATACATGTACATATGTACTTTTTAATTACTTAAGTATGTAATTTTTGTATTTGACTTTATTGTTTTGTACTTTTATTCATATTTGTTACATGTATTTATATTTTTATTTATAGATTGCATTTCATTTGTAACACACATAATCTGGCCATTCGTTTATGGTAATGAAACTCAATCAATCAATCAATCAATCAATCAACCGTTTAGCAAAAGGCGGAGGATTTACACTCAAATTATGCATTGAAACTGCAACCAGGGCATGCTTGAACATGTATTTACAGAACTGTAAACTCCATGTGTATGCTTTAATTTCATGCTTAAAATTTGTGTTTAAATGCATTTAAATCCACCCATGTGATGGGCTCTCGACCAATAGCAATGGGTAAACTATCTTAGGTACCGGTATTTATGAATTACAAATAAACAGCTGCACATGGGATGACAGAAAACACATCAGATCTTTTTTTGCCATTTGACTCCTCAACAGGAGGAAGGAATTATTCAGGAAAAAAAATTATCAAAAAGAAATTTCTGCCCACCCCCCACAAAAATTGACTCAGCCTCCCTAGCAAAATAGTTGCAATGATTTTGATTTTGATACTTTAAATATAAAAAAAAATTGACAAAACTTGTAGCATCTTTGCGACAGCATCAGGCGCATGTCGTCAATGCGTTCAAGCGTCTCTCCCATTGTTATGTCTGTGGGAGATTTTTTAAGATGACTGGAGGTAGCAAACACAATTGTTTGCGTTGTGTTTAACCCAAACCTTCCCAAATCCTCTTTGCAAAATGGAGGATTTGCAGGATTGAGGTTTTATGGCAAAAATGTGCGCCTAATTTTGGAGGATGCACTGTGTCAAGGCTTCGGGCCGGACCTCGTGCTGTTTATGCTCAGTGGCGCATAAATTTAGGCCTCGATTGTTCTTGAAATCCACTGCACTGCTCCAGGATGTCACTGGCTCTGCCTCAACATACCGACAGTGATTGCTGGAGGATTTTGCAGGATTAAGGCAGTTGTCACCCCTACCAAGGACCACATTCAAGATATAACGGAGGATTTTGGAGGATTGAGGCTGTATGCAATTTTTTACATGGAGATTTTGCAGGACTGAGGTTGCATCCTAGCAAAAATGCCTAGGGGGTAAGGGTTAAGCCATGGTGTGCATGTTCAAAACGACTCAAACAATAGAAAACGACTGGTGTGTCTGCCGCCACAAAGCGTAAAAAAACCTCTCATTGCCCCTCCTATCTCTCGCTTTGAAACCGCTGAGGTGGTATTTGCAAGTCCGTTATCCAGATTTTTCCCCGGGCATACTTACTGAAAGCCTTCTTGGGTTCCACAAAGTTGACGGTGAAGCTGAACCCGACCGGGAGGTCCTTAAATTCCTTCGCCACCTCAAAATGCCGGGAGCCGACCATGCTCTTGCCGTTGATGGCCGCGATGTGATCCCCCACCAGCACCTCGGCGATGGACTCCATCACGCTGTTCTCCTTGATCCGCTTGATGAAGGCGTACCCCGCGCCGTTGTCGGTGATGGTCAGGCCCAGGGAGGCCTCCGATTTCATACACTCGATGGATTTGGGGGCGCCCTTGACGTGGGCGACGATCAGGTCCTCCAGACCGATCTGGCCGCCCAAGAGTTTGTCCATGTCCACTTTGTGGGTGTTGAGGGTGCAGAACAGGATCTGCGGAACAACATTTAAAAAAGGATATTTAGCTATTCAGAGTATAACAAATATTTCTCAACATAAATTACACAAGTCACAATCGTCAATATCGAGGGGTAACGTGGTTCATCTGCTTACATCTACAGCCGGAATGTCGAAAGACTTAGAAATCTCTTCGTACAGCTCCCTGACGTTTGTGAAGCCCTCGATACGTTCGGTGGAGCTGCCGTGGGCCAGCTGCGTATAAAACACCAGCTTCCTCGGTGCGGGCGCAGGAGCCTGGCCGCCATTGGCTTGCTGCGGCTGGGCGGGAGTGGGGGCCGGCGGATACACCTCTTTTGAGTTTGTTTGGTCGGAGTCGGGTTGCTGCTCGTACTCGGTGAGCCCCCCTTTCTGCTTCTTGTCGCCTTTCTTCTTGGGAAACAGTGGCATGGTGGCGGTACACGTTGGCTGAGCCGAGGGTAGGGTGGACTCGTCTGGGTGGATGAATCCTACCGCATTTGCTGGGTGAACGTGGGAAGGGTACGGTGGTTTTTTTCTGTCAAGCCTGTCAACCCTGGGGAAAAAAGAGGAAGTGTATTTTTAGCTAGCTAGTTTAGCCAGCTTTCTTTCAGTAAATGATATTTAGCCTGCTACATGTAGATTGTACAACGCATTATAAAAGGTAATAAATTACTTCCACCGATGTGCAGCACCCTATGGCCTAATGGATAAGGGCGTGTACATGTAGTTCATGGGTGAGAGATCCCGGGTTCAAACCTGGTGGCAATGTTTTCAATTTTTTTTGTCCCAAAAAATTAAGAATATTCTTCTATTATTTTAAATTGACTCCAACATTTAATTACAGTTTATTACATTTTCTTTTTGTGATTCGTGGCTCTGGAGGAATTTTTTCTTTTAAATGGAAATTAAGTCCGAAATTGTGAAATGGTCTGTGATCCGTGGACAGACGAAGTCACAACAACAATATTGGCACGGAACCACACTAAGTATGTCATGGTAAATATGTCCAAGTCCCCCAAAAAAGTCACTGCTTTAGCCGGGAAAATATCGTTTACTTAAATTTAGCCGGTGCCGGCTGAATGTACACTGCCATACTTGAAAATGTTTCTCAATCCCAGATTCATGTCTCATCATCATTTTTGCAATGAATGACCTTTATTGAGATGACGTATGAAGAAAAAAGTGGCATCAGGTTGCAACATTTTTTCCGACTCCCCTATCTAATTTAGCAAAATTCAAAACCAAAATGTCTCTATTATGTTGGGGGAATGGAAATTTAGGGGCATGACCACAATGAAGACCACAAAATGCAACATGAAAATAAAGACGTGATCACCGCTAGGCATGCTAGGCACCGTAAATGGGCAAAAAAGGTTGATCCCAATCATCACATGGCATGAACCATTATCAATGACACTGAATGGCGCGCACGGCTATGCGATATGTGCAGGCTGCGCGCGCCGTTCAGTAAACAGTCGCCGGTGTACGCGTGCACACACGATATGCCCGACTGTGAATGCGGGCGTGCGCTTGGCTGGCGCGTCGTACGTCATCAGTTTGACCTCACAATTTGAATGAATCGTACACAACAACAACATTCAAGATGGCTTTTACCGGCACGACAGCTCAGCGAGGCTCGGTTTCCGAATTGAAGGTGAAATTTCTCTTTTCTTCTCTAAGGTGAAGGTATGTGAACCTAACCACCACCATTTGTATTTCCAATTCCCACTGAAGCATACAGGGGCACATAAGGCAGTTTGAAGACTGTTTTTGTGGTGAAATCTGACGATTTTGATTGGGGGTACGAGTGAAAATGGTCAAAACACGTTAATCATGTTAATGGTAACCATATACGGCCACGTACCTCGGACTCTACTATCGCCCGACCATGTCCAAATGTTAAAAAAGCGATCCGTGCGTAGAGCATGTGTAGACATGGTAGAGTCTAGTCCAAGTAACTTGGACCCAACTTATCGCCTTTTTTAACATTTGGACATGGTCTGGCGATAGTAAGGTCCAAGCTAATACCGAGACCTAGACAACACAGTCCCAAAAACCAACATTTTCCAACCAAAAACATCAGATTTCACCTTCAAAACGGCCTCCAAATTACTAGATATGTCACCTGAGGTACAAGTAGACATCGATAATTAAGATGGTTGTACTGAAGTTTACTTACGATCCGGAAAAAAAGTGAAATTTTCCGTTCATTTCGGAGAGCTCCCCTCGCGATCTTGAACACGTTAAATTTCCGATCGTGTTTAATGTTTGAACGACGCGATTTCTTCTACATGCCCAGCGTACATTCGATGGTCCCCGTATCCCGAGTGCGATTCCGTTACCGAGCGCGCGCGATGCATCGATTATGATAATGAGTAGACTGGATCACGTTTGTAAACACATGTGCATTTCAAACGATAATAGGGAGTCGGGAACTAGCGCAGCTTTTATGGCGGGTACCAGTTCAAGCTGGTTCCCGATTCCCCTTTACAGTTCGAAATGCACATGTATGTGTTTACAAACGTGACTCATTATCATAATCGATGCATCGCGCGCGCTCGGTAACGGAATCGCACTCGGGATACGGGGACCATCGAATGTACGCTGGGCATGTAGAAGAAATCGCGTCGTTCAAACATTAAACACTATCGGAAATTTATCGTGTTCAAGATCGCGAGGGGAGCTCTCCGAAATGAACGGAAAATTTCACTTTTTCCCGGATCGTAAGTAAACTTCAGTACAACCATCTTAATTATCGATGTCTACTTGTACCTCAGGTTGCATATCTACTAATTTGGAGGCCGTTTTGAAGGTGAAATCTGATGTTTTTTGTTGGAAAATGTTGGTTTTTGGGACAGTGACAGGTACTCCTAGAACTATGAGGCTCCACGTGGAGCCTCATAGTTCTAGGAGTAAGTGACAGGATGATGTTGTCCAGGTCGCGGTATTAGCTTGGACGCCACTATCGCCAGACCATGTCCAAATGTTAAAAAAGGCGATAAGTTGGGTCCAAGTTACTCGGACTAGACTTTGTGCACAACCAAAGATGTGGTGTCTGGATACTACATGTACATAAACACTTTAAAACGATGTTCTGATTCGCTTACCACACTCAGTCAGTACGCCCCTCTCACTGTTATTGGCTGCTCGCACGACACATTCAGCTCATCAAACGATCTTCGAAGACAAAACACTCCCTGAAGCTCGACCCTCTGCGTTCACTGCAATGTGAGAAAATGGTGTAGAAATCTGGACGGAATTGAAGGTCATCAAAGTACAAAATTCACGTGGAAACGTCCCGCCCCCAACAGAAAACTGGACCACGTACATGTACGTACATGACGTACCGCGTACACCTGCTGTACGAAACGATACTCAATTATTCGATTCCAATGATTGGAGGTTTTTACTCGATCTGTAACTTGCCTATGAGTTCAAGAAGAGTATCGATACAGTAATTTACTATTTTTTTTTCAATTGCCAAGAATCGAAATTTGAAACTAGTCTCGTCGAAATGGTAATTCTAGCGCCCTCTGCCGGTAAAGTTCCCTTAATTAATTACTCAGTAGTACTGGGGGGGGGGGGGGGGAGGGGGTAGTCTGAGTATCACCCATTCTCCACGGAGAATTTTTTTCTTGATTTTCTTACTTTGGAATGCAGGAGAAATCATTCAAGATTTGAAAATTTTCCCTGGACCCAAACTTAAGCCTAGCAGGGCGTGCGGCCATGCAGGCTGAAAGCTAATCCAGCCCCTGTTTCTTCCCACATTAAGCTGATTAACGGTACAAATTTCCATGTCTGTGCAACGTTCATCCTAGCATATGAGGGCGCTCTTGTAAAACGTAAATGAAACAGTTAGTTCCATGACCAAAGTATACCTCCATAATTATGAGTGCATTAATCATTGTAGCTTAATTTGACATAATGCCATCACTAATTCGGGCATCACATCACCTCGCTCACGGGGTCGGACCCGCCCCCCCCCCCACACCCCAATATGTTATTTTCTTGAGTTACCGTCTCCACAAAGAGTGTTTTATTTTTGTTCAATTAAATTAAAATGACTTTAAATTTCGGAATGATTTTTTCGCGATAAATCCACAAGTACGTGTGTATTCTTTATATCATATTGAATTTATCCTTCCACGGTTCCCGTCAATTTTCGAACTTCTTGTGTCAAATATCATGACAAAATATTGGAAGAAGTTTCAATTCAATGCAATATTTTTTTATTGATTCATTGTCTGCAGAAAGAGTGTTTTATTTTTGTTTTACGGGCAGATCGTGATCCGCGTTGACACTACTAAGTCTTTGCGGTGGTACGGGTGACCAGTGTTTGTGAAGCGCGCCCTCTTTTGGAAGAAATTGATGGTAGCAAAAAGTACGGAGCTACACAAGTAGATTTTATTGGCGTTATATTTATTTTTTTCTTCCGCGTTTCCCGTCAATTTTCAAACTTTTTTTCATAATATCACCACCGTACCAATTATTGAACGATCTTTCAATTTAGTGCAATGTGTTTTTCTTGAGTTATCGTCTCCGCAAAGAGTGTTTTATTTTTTGTTCAATTAAAAAGTGACTTGAATTCGAGTTGAATTTGTCTCGATAAATCCACAGCAAATTTTTGAAATCATATTTAATTTATCCTTCAACGGTTTCCGTCAATTTTTAACGCCCTTAAGGCCCCCCCCCCAAAAAAAGTCTCCGGTTTCTGGTATTCGCGCGCGTCGCCGTAGCCATGCGCGTCGGCAAAATGAAAAAGTTTTTTTTTCAATGAAAGATGATGTCTCAAAACCACCAAACTCACTGGTTTGACTGGAATCCTGCTGCTGCACAATTTGAACGTGTTTTTAGATTGGGTTATGGTCGAGAATAAGCTTTATGTGGCCTCTCTGGACTCCCATATATTTCCACTAAGTTTAGTCGGGCACCATTTGCAGTCATCAGCCGACATTTGAAGCAAAAAAATCAGGTAAAAAAAAAAGAAAAGCCGCGTCGCCGCACCACCTTTTGGGCAAGCTCCATACCAGAAACCGGAGACTTTTTTGGGGGGCCTAAAACTGAAAAGGTAAGTAATAGCGCCTCGAATAGCGCCACCTATTGTTCCGGCCATTACAAACACATTGTCGTAAAAGTTGGTATCTAAACATTGCTATGCAAGAAAATATCAGACGTTTATTTATTACTCCCCCAGTGTTTTTCCACTTTTTAAGGAAATTTTCTTATTTTAAGGACATTTTCACGTTCGAAGGAAATTTCTCAGGAAATGAAAAATTGGAGGAAATTAAGTTTTAAGGAAATCCCGAAATCTTGAGGAAATTTTAAAGAAAGTTCTAAAATGCAAGAAAAAATCAAGCAATTCAATTGAAAGTATAGTAAATTTGTATCCAAATGAAAACCTAGACCATTTGGGGGGTCATACAGAACACGAGTCGAGGTTACGGCTCCGGGGACATATGGCCAGCACTCGCAAAGAGCCGGCCTTAGCCGATATCTGCATATTGACAGCGCGTGCAGAGGATACGAGTACGCAACTTGGCCTGAGCATGGGTGAGACTTTTTTTTTTGAAAAAAACTGAGAGACTACAAAGCTGAGAAATAACCATTTTACGGTGACTTCATTTAAGGAAATATATCATGAAATTCCAAGAAATTTCTAAGGAGATATCAGGAAAAAATATATGCTAATCTAAGGAAACTCAATTTTGGAGAGTGGAAGCACCAGTACTCCCCATCACGCTCAACTACTTCGGCAGCGACCGCCCCATTTTAAAGAATAAGTTATAAGACAGGATCAACTTTTACGACAACGTGCTAGTAATGCATATACATGTATTCAGTTGCGTACTGCTGCTAATCCCGGGACATACCGCGTTATTTCGTTTTACCGTTTTTCATTTCCTCAAAAACAAAAACAGTAAACGCACCGTTGACCGATTTTTCGTTTTACAGTTTTGTAAAACGGTCAAACGGTATTAGGTCACAAAAAACAATGATCTTTTTGTTGTTTTTCTTAATTGCTAAAAGCGATAAACGGTTAGTTGCTTCATTTCAGAGTGTTGTTTTACAAGAACATGACAATGAAAAAACGGTCAATAGTCCTGTCGACCATTTTTTTGATTTAGGTTCGGCAATTAAGCAATGCACCTAGGAATGTTAATGCGTCCTTGGGATCGAGTCATTGCCTGGGACCCAAATTGCCCTCCTCACATTTCGTTCTCACGACATAGTTTTCGAACTGGCTATTGAAGAGCAGCGCCGAACTCCAATTTCCTTCAAATATCTGCAACTTCTTCAAACGTATTACCATCCTGTATCCATTGTAAAAAGTAATGGCCTCTTTGAAGTTTTCCAGCGCCATTTTTGCTTGCAACTCTTAAGCCCCACCAACTGAATCGCATGAGAAGGGGTCAGGGTCACGCCAGGAATCACACCACGCATTATGCCAAGGTAACACTTTTTCATGTAAAGCATGGTCCCCCTCCACCCCCTTGCCCACCACCATAAAAAGGAACTGCGGACTGTTCACTACGACACTGAAATAAAAAAAAAAACAGTCTGTATTCAATACTGACCGTTTTGCTGTTTTTCAAAGTTATATGTGTAAAGCTGTAAAACAAAAATCATTGATCGTTATGCTGTAATGAATTTTATTAAACTTATAAAACAGAAAAACCGTAATTATCTTAATACCGTTTGACCGTTTTACAAAACTGTAAAACGACAAAACGGTCAATAGTTCGTTTACTGTTTTTGTTTTGAGGAAATGAAAACGGTAAAACGAAATAACGGTATGTCCCGGGATTGCTGCTACATGTGTTACCATTCAGCACTCCAGACTCGAGAACCATTGATTTTTCGCGCCCAATGACAGACGGATTGCGAACTTGTTGACAATATGGCATTATGCTTGTCCAGTCCGACATATCGAAGGTCGCGCAATACAATGTACAAGTATACATGTGTACACTGAATGGCATGAGCTTGTGTGTTTACTCTCAGTTATTTCAGTCAGTCTGGTTTAAACCAGTACCCATGCATGTCGTACATGAATTTAGAGATTCTGTGGCTTTGTGAAGACTAGTTTATCCTTTTCTCCATGGGCCGTCGCCATTAACCAGTTTGTGAATTCAGAATCAGATATGATTCGGAACGGACTGAAAATCCTGCGCAACTTTCGCCCCTATTCACCGCGGTTGCCGTGTTCGGTGTGGCCACCACGGCCATTGCAGACGGGTCAAGGGAATGCCCGGGGTCTGTCGGCGATGTTCACGGCGCGACGCAGCCTGTTGCAGCTGCCAGCAAGGCCCGAGCTGTCAAAGATCGTCCCCAAGCCACCACGGGGATATCAGTCGGTGAATTGGTACTCGTCTCAGGCCAGCCGAGAGGCTTCGCTGGATACTCATGTGAAGGTATTGTACAAAAAACTACAAACACATAATAAACCACAGGGATGGGCCGCATGCCAAGAGGGGGAGAGAGCTATAGAGAGGGGGAGATGTACTCTTGATGTACATGGGATATGTACATGTACATTATCTAATTGCCACCCAATGTGCAGAAAATCAAAGCCCTGCATACTGCATGCTCTGCGCATGCTCTGCGGTCACACACAACGTGCCGTGACCTCCATAGGATCTAGGATCAGGAAACGCGAAATTTTCCGACACACTTTCCGCATATTAACGAAAGTTTGCTCAGAGCGCCTAGACATGAGCCAGTCTTCCCACGTACATGTAAACAGAGCTGCACTAGTGGCGAGTGAGCAAATGCTCCCTAGTTAAGTTCTCCATATAGGCTCTTATTTAGTGCACAGGCATATATTAATACCACTGTAATTCGCTCGTACCCCCACCACCCTGCAAACAGGACGCTGGGAAGGACTAATGAATTCAAGCTCTGATTTTGCGTGACCTGTGACCTGCAAGTCATCACGGCCACGAACCTGCAAGGTTTTAAACGGCCGTTAAGACTGAGTCACTACTCTCTATTCCCATTCATAAATGCTTATTATTCGTTGAAAACCGTAATAATGTGTGTTGTAAAGTTTAAAATTTCCGTCACTTGCTCAGGCTCCGTTTCGAATGCACGATGGGTCAAATTGCATATTATGCGACGCTCAAATTATTTTGTCCAATGGTCCGCAATGAAAAAGAAATCATTATCCGGTATGGAATGTGTGCATTTCTATATGAGAAAGTTTTCGGATACCATTTGCGCGCATTAGCTAACCGCGGTCTTAAAAACAGCTGCAGCTGGATGGTTACTTATAGGTTATGATAAGTTACCCAGGATGCCATCCCCACTTCCTTCACAAGATTATGTGAAGCTCATCAGCCCTTCCCAGCGCATTGTTTGCAGGGCGGGGGATACGAGCGAACCAGTATTGTTTGTGGGTGTCAGAGCGGGGGGGGGGGGGGGGGGGGGGTTAGCATTATTTTATATGAATTTCTATGGAAATTTTTGTTTGTTTGACAGAACTGGGGGGGGGGGGGTGTTTGACCCCCTCTGGATCCGCGCCTGGGAGTTGGACTGGTTTCTTCATGTGCTAGTCTATTTTCTTGTGTTGCATGTTTTCAGTATAAGTTTTGGGACTCTCATACACAGTCAGGTACTGAGAGTGCCAAATTTTCGGACAAGGCCTGCTTATACTTTTCCATAAAATTGAAGTACGTTTTGTCCCTGGCTTATTTATAAACACACCTGCCCTGACAGGGTTGATTAACCTTCTGTCGGGTTTTGTAATCTTATGATAATTTTGACCTTTCCTGGAGAACAAACAGAAAGGTAGCAAACAATTGTATTGAAGTTGGCATTGCGAGATCGACGATAACTGCAGCTTGCACGAAACCAATAAAGTGCGATGGTTTACAAGATAGTACAAAATGGTTGGATGGTATTTGCTAAATTTTCAAGGGTGGGCAAAGTACGGGACATCAGTTGACACTGCCGTTACGTTAACGTACGTGCACTTGGTCCGACTCCGCTTCAGCACGAAATGTACGTCGGGAAACCGAGAAAATCCCAACCCTCAAATCTTATCAGGATTCAAAAATTAAGTTCTCAAAGTTACCCCCCCCCCCCTCAAATAACTAAGCCCCAACTCAAATTTCCAAGCTTGCATATAAGTGTTAGTTGACTCGGAAGCAATTTTGACGGTCATACTTCGGGGCGGATCTACCTTTCAGGAAACGGGGAGTCGATATAAGGCCGGGTACAACCGTGTAAATTAGGTCAAATAATCCATCCGCCGAGCTCATGAATAAAAGTTAAACACTCAAATTATTCTACATATTAGAAAGTTCTGAGAGCCACGGAATTGGGAAATTGAAGAGATACCGGCAATGCACCTCTGGCCCGGACTAGACTTGGGGCTTTCAATTCCGAGCATTTTGGATGCAAATGAGCCCGAAATTGACGCTATTTAGCCATGTTGTGGAGGGATCGTTTTTCAAGATGTCTACTTTTCCACTTTGGGAAACCTCACTTGTTTCAGGGGTCGTCTTCTTTGGGTGAGAATTTCTCGAAAAGTCAATGGTCAACCCACCAAAAATTGAAAAGAAAATGAAAGATGACATGTTGATCATCATTTTACTGTGTGGCATAAACACCTGTGAGAGTTTTGAGTATTTTAAAATGAATTTTGAAGTATGGGCATTTAGCAGCGGTGTCTATGGGAGTTTTATACAGGGGTGCGGGGGAGGCGAGTCTAAGGGGTGCACACCCTGCGAGAAGGCATACCCTGCATGCTAGGGGTTGCAGGCCAGGGGCATCTCCCCGGAAATCTACGATATTTCTCCTGCATTCTTAGGCAACTCAAGAACAAAAGTTAGGAACTTTGGCATTCCATTTATTATTTTTGGCCTTATTTTACTAGTTTCATAACATTGGTCAGCGGCTGAATGGTGTTGCATGTCGATTCATGTCGTTGCATGCTGAGGTTACGGATATAAGGCGAATGTCATACTGTGTAACGCCTATACAATGTACCATGTACATTTTATAGGCATCCTTGTTCTTCATACATCAACCATGATGCATGTCAGTACGAAGGGGGGGGGGGTGTTTCCAGATTAAAATTCTTTTTTCGATGGTTGAAGACCCCCCCCCCCCAAGATGGGGGTGTAAGACATTGAAGTTTAACTTAAAGGGCCCATGCAATGTATTTTTTTTTAATGCAATCCTTGAAAATGCACCTTTGTGTCCCATTTAATCGTTTTGCTATTTTCAAGGGTATTTTGGTGCCTTTTTTGGTTTTTATGCTAATGCGAATTTCCATATTCATGAGCAAAAGTGTGATGTCGTTTCAGGCAGACACCACAATGTTACAACTATTTCAGCACCAAAGGTTGTCAGATTTGTGGATATTTTGCTCTTGTCAAGTTTTCTTTCTTTGGTGATTCGTTGTTGTATCAGTGCATGTCAGTAAGCCAATGAGCAATCTTTTCTCACAAATGTTTTCCATAAACAAATGTCTGGGTTCACAATTTAAACAGAAAACGCCTAAACTGAACAGTGTCTTCCTGAAATGACATCACAGCAACAGCGACCTCAGTTGTCCGGAAAAGCATGGACATTTTTTTAATGTTTAAAGAAGTGCACTATAAAAAAAAAACCAAAAAAGGAATGTCAAATGGTTGTCATGCATAAGTAGGAAGTTGCACAAAATGTGTTCCTAAGAAAAATTCATCTCATAAACCCTTTAAAGTAGTCTGAGTATCACCCGTTATCCACGGAGCCAAGACTCCTGTCTAACGTCTGATACTAAACATGCAGATTTATGCGATCTCGCGCCTCAGCCAATCGGAGTCGACTTTACTAAATCGTGACGTTATTTCATTCCCAAATCAGGACTAAACGTTTGATTGGTCAATTCGAATGCAGTGTTTTGTAATGCAACAACAGCCGGGCGCGTTATCGCGTAACATGATATACAGAGCTCGTGACGCAGGGCTTTTTAATCCATTGTCTATGACGCGCAACGGGTGAATGACCGAAGACCCGATATAGAAAGCGCCCGCTGATTGGTCAAAATCTAGGAGGTCAAGAGGCGGAGTCTTGCCTAATAATTAGCGAATCTGCTCACATACCATAGACATTCGCCATGGGTCTATTACATAGACTACCTTTAAAGAACATGTTAGGGCCAAAATCACACTAGGCAATTTTCACGGACAACTTAGAGGTAAACGGAATACAGTGCAAGCTAAGGGAACACTCAAGTGCATTCGCTTGACAGTTAATGGAAATTCGCCACAAAAATTGTGGAATTAATTTTTGCCTTTCGCCATTTTGTTGTTGAGATTTCATGGCACAAGGATCCTTAGGGTAAGTCCTATATATAAGCTGTGCCTGTGCCAAATGAACACTCAGTCGCTCTGACAATTTGAATCGCTAGATCAGATCCTTGAGCAAGGATGACTCGCGTCGTATGGTGAACGTGACTTGGTCTGACGGCACGAAACAAGACTACCCGTTCGTCTGGCTCCTGGACAACTGCTTCTGTACCGACTGCTACCACGTCGAGTCCCAGTGTCGACTCCTCCCCTTCGACGAGCTCGACATCGACGCCAACCCGGAGTCGGTCGAGACCGTCAACCACGGCGACACGCTCCGGGTCTCCTGGAATCGACACCACCACAGCGATTTCAACTCGGACTGGCTTCGCCCTAACCGATTCGATCAGGCCGAGCCGCGAGACGATGCCCTCTCCGCCCTGCCCACCCCGAAGCTTTGGGGCGCGGAGATCGCCCAGTCTCTGCCCAGGTTTGAGTTCCAAGAAGTCCTGTCGGATGACTGGGCTCTGCTGGACTTCCTGAAGGCCTTCCATGAGTTCGGGATCGTGAAGTTGGAGAGGACCCCGGCCGAACCGAATCAGATCCCGATACTCGCCAAGAGAATCGGCCCGATGAGAGAAACGAGTTTTGGGTGAGTGAATTTCGTTGCTGTAATACTGTGCGCATAAAAGTGTAACACAATTAAGGCCCTAGCTTCATACATGGCCACGATATCCGAAGCATTAATATTCGGAAAGTCAATTCAAGACGACCATATTCACGTGTACTTCACCAAAATCATTTCAACGACCCCACCAAATGAGAGGAACAACTTCTCAAAACACACCTACTCCAATATGGTCCTCCTAACGTGCGACAGATTACAATGTACAAAGTGTGCCAAAAAAGTGCAACATTCAGATTTCAGAAAACAGATATTTAAAACTGTTTATTGTTTTTTTCTTCAATAAAATTAAATATCACATTAAAGTCGGACTATTTCTCAATCCACTCCTTTTTACCCACATCGACACATATATGACCACGGAGCACAGCCTGAGATCGAAAATGTTTGATTTTTCCGGTGGGAGGAAAACCGGAGGGCCCGGAGAAAAACCCTCGAGGCACAGGGGAGAACCAACGCACAACTCTACTCACATGTGATCCGTGGCCAGGATTCGAACCGTGGTCACCTTGGCGAGAGGCGAGCGCTTTACGCACAAGCCGACCATGTCACCAGTGGATTAAGAAATAGTCAAGGCTTTAATGTAATATATAATTTCATTGAAGAAAAAAAAACATTAAAAAGTTTTTATTATTTGTTTTCTGAATGTTGCACTTTTTTGGCCCACTCTGTGTACAAGTGCTACAATCCTGGCCAAATCTCGCTGGGGCCCCCAACCCCGGCCCCCGTTCAATGTTGTCTCTCATTGCGCGGTGTGTGCTCCATCAGCTGGAGAGAACAGCATTGACCGGGGGAGCGGGGGAGTGGGTGACCGTGGCAGGCTCAGGAAGTGTCCCGACCATTTTGTAGGTCCACTCAATTCGGACAAAATACTGTCAGCCTATAAAAGTATATTAGTGTTATCTGCTCATAACCGATTCTCCTCTAGTTTGGTACAATAAGGCTATTCTGAAATGTGTCATGGTAACCCCTTAAACAATCTGAAGTTTGTTTTTTTCCCTTCATTTTAAGACTGATCCAACCGCTCAGGAAAGGCGGGTACGAGGTTGAGGATTTGGGTCAAGATCGTGCCCTGTCGTACACCACCAAAGCGCTGAATCTACACAACGACATGAGCTGCCTTTATGAAACAACATGTGTAAGATTGGAACAAACAGTTTATTTTTAGGCACATTTGCCGATAACTTATCCACCAACTTATCCACATTTATTCGTTTTACAGTACAAATTTACCATTCGGATTGGCAAAATGGAAGGTCAGTGTCGCAAAAATAAAGAATAGTTATTAAAGTTTCCAACTTTCCAACTGTTGAATATACAAAATAACCAACAAACACTACTATTTAAAGCCTTAATGAAACTGCCTCTTTCGTACACAATGAGGGTGTTAAAAATATGCAATTTTTGTCAATATTTGTTGCCAACCATGTAAGGCCAAATTAAAAACAAAACATGTTTAGTGTCTCCGCCCACTTCCGTTTTGGAGGCCGCCTCCTTTTTTTATTGAAAAAAAATAAACCTTTGAGATTTCGGTTTTTAAGACAGAAGAAAGATACAGAAAAAAACAGAAGAAAGATAACCACTACGAATTGAGTCCATAATATTAAATCATTTGACGGGTGTCTCGATTGGCTGTTATATTTCCAGATGGCGTTTTTTCACTGCATTATAGCATCAGACGGCAAGGGAGGTGAAAGCATCTACTCGGACGGTTTCCATGCCGCGGAAATGTTGAGGCTTGCTGACCCCAGGGCGTTCCGGCTGCTCTCCACCAATCAGCAGGAGTTTCGACTGGTGGGGGCGGAGCCTCACGTCGGTGATTTCGATCACCGATCTCATCATTTCCCAATCATGTACGTTGGCTAATGAATATTCAAACGATGGGAGGAGATAACTATCATCTGTAGTTTATCTCCGTGGTTTTGATGCAGTTATCATTTTAAACCTTTAGAAAACGTGCAAAGGTAGAATTATGAATGTGACAGCATTATTTTCATATTTCGTTATTTCTTAAAGGCTTGACCACTTTGGACAACTTAAGGCGATTCACTACAGCACTCACGCTCGAACCCCTTCACTGCGCATGGCCGTTGATGACGTTAAAGCCATGTATAGCGCCCTCCAGAGCTTTTCCAAACTCCTTGAGAGCCCGGAAAATGCGTATTATGTTAAACTGCAAAAAGGTAGGAATCTTGTGACATTTTTTGCATGTTTTTAAATCGGAAAAGTGGACGAGTGTTGAAGGCATATCAGATCATTTGTGTTTATCACCAAAGTAAACCTACAGTAAACTACCTAAAAAATATTAAAAATCCTGCTTGAATTCAAGATCGCACTGGTACCAAACACCACATGAAGTTATTAAGTCTGGCTTGGTTTGCTGTCATTTAGAAGGAATCAAGAAAATATGTAGGTGGATTCGAAAGATCAGTAAATTCTCGGACTTCTTTTTTTAACAAAGAGTTCTGTTGACGAAATTGTGTTTCGTGATCAAAAGGTTGTGCATGGTTGTTCACTGTTTTCTCGAAAAAGTGTAATTCAACTGAGCTGAAACTTCAACAGGGTAGGTGTTGAACATTCTTCTTTGGATTTTGAGTGGTGTTATTGTAAACGAACAAAATGCATGAAAAGCAAAATATCCTATAATATAGCACCGTATCATTATCTCGATATGGACACACTTGACAACGTGTGCTGCAATGTAGGCCTGTTTTTATGATGATGAAATAATGATTTTCATCATAAGGGGAAGCAGCAGTGACCGGGAAGCTAGTACTGTCGGAGTGGATGTTGCCAACTTTCGTTTTTAAACTCTGGCAGGAGCTTCTAGTTCTATAAACATGTCACTTGGTGGTCGGTCGGTAGGTCGGCGCGGATGGTCTGTCTGTCTGTCCCCGGAAAATTGACCAAAAATGTGGTGTTCCGTTATGTGCCATCGGCGTCGCATTTTTCGGCGTCGCATTTTTCAGCTCTGGCAGGGATCATTTTGATAAATTTCACGCGAGACTTTCATGCAAGACTTCTTGCAACACGACCAGAGCTTATTGTGCACTCGATCGACTCGCATTTGTTTTTGCTTTTTCGACGTGTAGGTGACATGGTGGTGGTCAACAACCATCGCGTCCTCCACGGGCGGACGCCGTTTGAAGACTCCAACGAGAGATACTTGGAGCTGGGTTACGTCGACTGGGACCACGTGACTTCGCGCATGCGCGTCCTCCAAAATAAACTGAATTCTGATAAAGTGTGAAAAGCAACCCCCCTCCCCCAAAAAAAAAATAAAAAAAATTTGGCGTTGTATCACAAACTTGGTTAATTCACTGAAATAAAGATATCTATATGTTAGGGATTTCAAACAGAAAATAAAACCCACCCATCAACCTGGAACAATCTACTGATTCTAAAGCACGCCCTCAATCGAAATTCCATGTATTTCGGACAAGGTCAGAACATGGGTCAGAACAATTCGGGTTATTCGCAATGTAGTGCGCCACCAAGAGTTTGCCACGGCGAGTTCATTTTTCCCAGTGCGTTGCATGGGAGATGGTTGACAAATTCGCAACGCGGAACATTTGAATCTTGTTAGTTTTTTTCCGGTCAGTGGGTTCGTAAGTGTATGATTCAAGTATCTGTTTGCCCCTTTCTTTTCCTTTTATCAATATGGTGCTTTTTGTAAGGCAGCAGAACGCTATGCCCAATCTATAACAAATTAGCTCAAGTTGTCTACTGACACTCGTTCAACTGGGCCTTATTTTGTTGTCCATAAAGTTGAAAAAGGGACTCTCCACGGCAAACTCTTGGTGGCGCACTACATTGTGAATCGCCCGAATTGACAGTTATTGGTTGTTAACGTTCTAGCTAATGTTGACATCTGGGAATAAGGGCCAACAGCACTGTGTGCAGTACATAAAGGAAACCTCACTTTATAATGAATAAATATATGAAGTTACAAATTGTATATTATTTTTATTTGCGAACCATTTAGTTAAGGTGAGCTACAACAAATAAACATAATCCTATAATTACAAGATGTTTGTTTTTATGTCATATATAGACGAGTATCCATACATCTTTTTGTACAGCATTATGTACAAATTCACGAAGAGATTGTGGAGTAGACGTACTATTAACTTTATGCAAACTTGTGACATAAAATGGCGTGCGTGTTAAATTTTGAAGAAAATATCAGTTTAATTTGGGCGTTTTGGGCGTATACAATATCACCTTGTTGATTTGAGCACAATGATCATTGTTCAAAATGGCCGAAGTTTAATAGCGGATCAATGTTTACGTAAGCTGACAAGTGTTTGTCAAAAGGTCTGGACTTTTGGCCCAAATTAACATTAACGGTAGATATATTAGAGGGCCCATAGCATGCCATGCTTTTATTTTTGCAATCCTTGAAACTGCTACTTTTTGTCCCATGTAAGCTTATTTTCAATTTTCGTTTCGTTTTTTTTCAAGGTATTTTGGGTTTTTATGCTAATGCAAATTTCCATATTCACGAGCAAAAGTGTGATGTCATTTCAGGCAGAAACATCTATGTTACAGCTATTTCAGCACCAAAAGATGCCAGAATTTTGGATATTTTGCTGTCGTGAAGTTTCTTTATTTTTGGTGATTGTTTGTGGTGTCAGTACATGGCAGTAAGCCAATGAGCAAACCTTTCCCACACTGTTTTCAGTGAGCACATTTTTGGGTTCACAATTTGAACAGAAAACCCCTAAACTGAACAGTGTCTTCCTGAAATGACATCACAGCAACGGCGCCCTCAGTTGTCCGGAAAAGCTTGGAAAAGTTTGAAATGTTTCAACAAGTTCACTTTTCTAATAAAATGAACCAAAATAATTAAGGGATGTCAAATAGTTTTTATACATCTAAGAGGAGTAGAAAGTTGCAAATAAAATATATTCCTAAGAAAAGTTCATTTCATGAACCCTTTAATTTTGTACAAAAAAAATCGTTTTATTTGATTGAGGAAATAAAGTAGTTGCAATAAATGTTGAAAATCTTTATCAGATGTGTCACCGTTATCGCGAGAAAATCAGCCTTTGTATTATCGTAATTACAATACGGCTACGTGCATGTAAAAGCGGGGACACAAGGGACTTTGTTCGAGTTCAAAACTTCAAAATGCACTTTTGTTATTCTGCGTTCGAAATTCTGTGTACCAAACAATTTATTTTAAAACTTGAAATCACGAATTGTCCTAGTGGTGTTTTCGTCCTCGCGTCCGTTTGTGTACATTTATTGTGTTTGCAGGAATATCATTGTTGTTAAAGGGAATATACAACATTTGCAAACATCGAAAAATAAAACTACCAAGTTTTTGCGAAATACCTTAATAGGATGTTGGTAAATGACAGTCTAAAGCATCCTGTAAAATTATGGCACCTGGTATACTGTCATTTTCAAGAAAAGTGGTATTTTTGTATCAATTTCCAACGCTGATCGGCCGATCAGCGTTGGAAACAACTGGCTTTTTTTCAAATACTGGCCCCAATTGACCATTGCACTTGTTTGCAATCGATTACAAACCTATGAACGGGTACGAGCCAGCTAGACTGGTTCCCTGACCTTACAATTCCCCAATGTATGTAAACTGCTCTGTTTCTTCTTATATGGAGTCAGGGAACCAGACTACAGGAAAATGATCGTTTTTCTTCGTTTTTATAGCATTTTCAAACCCAAAACCTCCAAAAAGTCAGTGTAACTATATTTGCTTTATATTTCCAACCCCCCAATTCCATCTATTTCTGAAAATTACAGCAAAAGCAAATGATGTATATTCCCTTTAACATGATTAGGGAACAAAAGCTTGCTATTGAACCTTTCTTGGAAATATAAGAATTGAATTCGTTCGTATCTATGTTAATGTTGTATTGTTCTCAGATCACATACACGCCTAAACTGCATGTAAGCTTTGCAAATACATGTAAACACAGTTTCATTCAAAACGAAATAGTATTGAATGTTTGAAGTAAGTGTAAAACAGGGGTTAAAACAAGCAGGTAATGAACGATTCATATATTTATACATACATTTTCCTAAGTTGAGATGATACAGGTCAATACATTTTAACAATTTTAAATTTGCAAATAGAGGCCCAGAGTGTTCACAATAGCCACTTTTAAAAATTACTCGAACTGCACGTTTCTGTTGAGTAAGCAGTTTGTTGCATTTAGGAGTTGGACTACCCCAAGTCCGAACTGAGTAATTTAAATACGGTAAAACAAATGAGTTGTACAAGGTTAGTAATATGCTACTAGGTAAAAAATATAAGACGGTTCACTATACCAATATTGTTTTGATATTTTAGATGTTATAACGTCTATATGATTCTTCCAAGTTAAGTTCTGATCAAGATAACCTGATCAAGATGAGTATCATTTAAAATTATAGGAACAGACTGTGTGTACTTGTACTGGCTAGTACAAAATATTATATAATTTGATTTGAGAACATTTATACATAATTTATTGGCTAAAAGCCAAGTGGTGATTTTCCGGAGCTCAAGATTGAGGTTCTGTACCGCTAAGTCTACATTTTTGTCAGTATATAATAAACTTGTGTCATCTGCAAATCAGCAATATGTAATTATAATTTTCTGAAGTGCTGCAGATGTCATTAATGTACAAGATACACAATAAGGGACCCAATACAGAGCCCTGTGGTACACCGCAGGTTATAGGCTGTTCTGTAGATTCTGTAGAGTTTCGCCTCTTTGTCTAATGCGGGCAAGAAAAATATGAATAGAGAATAATAAAATTAATGAATATTCTAGAACTTGGTTGCGTTAAAAGCAATAATCGATTGAAATTCTTGAGGCAGATATTTGACCAGATCATTATAAGCGATGGACTCGAACCTCTCCAGAAATGTTCCTTTCTTTAAAATTGCCTTCAGAGTAATAGAGTAGGAGAAGTGCACAACAAAGGCCTTCCCAACGACGCAGTTCGGGTTCTTGACTTTTCTGGAGTAGATCTCTGTCAACCAGCCCTCGTCGTCGTGTTGTATAGGTCCACTCTCCGTAATGGCTTTGAAGTCAATGATGTTCTTATCCAATAGGAGCAAGTTGATGCTGTAACGCGCTCTCTCATTGGTCAGATAGCGGCCGTCAAACAGAAATCTGTCCAGTGATTTTTTCTGGTAGTGATACAAGAATCCTCTCAACGCCAGCGCCGCACATTTTACAGATTTCCAGCCACACTTAGCATGTGGATCGAACTTGAACTTGCGCTTCTTCGGGTTGATAGCCTTGTTGTCAAACACGCCCATCTCCTGGTGGATGTAGCTACTCCGCCAGTTAGCACCTCCGATGTTTGCAAAATGAAGGAAGCACTCGGAGGTGTTCTGTTGCTCAATAAGCTGCCTGAAGGTGCCGGGGTGGATGTACACGATGTCGTCATCCATTTTGAAGTACTTCCTTTCGGGGTACCTTATTATTTCACCAAGAATTGTGTACGTTACCTCAGCATACACGTCTGTAGGACGAACCGTCGTGTCGTTTTCACGATTGATAATCTTGAGCTCGAACACTTCCTCTCCTAAGTATTTGTTGGCACTGTCAGTCAACTGGGTCAGTTTGGTGAGGGTCTGCTTGTCGTATTGGATCATGAAGTAGTAGACCTTGTCCAGAACGCCTCCATTCTTACGCAGACTGCGATATATGTAAGGAAAATTGATTCGCAGGTATCTCCAGCGTCCGGTGAAAATGCAGAGAATGTTCTTGGGTTTGGGACTGCATGCAGGGTCCTGCCCTGTCTGTGATTCACCGCGTTCATGGGACAGGGGCGATTGCATCGGAGGCTTGCTATTCACTGGTGTATAAAGGGGATCAGAGATGAATGCAAGAGCAGTAAAAATGACGATCAAAGCCAGCCCTGACATCACGATGATTCGTCCCATGTTGGGTATGGCTCGCTTCGCGCCGACCATGTTCACAGAGATATTTGTCCTTCGAGTTCCGATGATATACAACGTTATGAATTACGCTGCATGATATGCCTATTCGTGTATGACCGGTTCACACATCACGCGAAGGCTGATGCGAAGGGCAGCGCGACCAAGTTTTATTGTGACGTATGCCATTCAACCTATCGTAATGAATTCGCAGTAGGTTTAAACGGCCTTTCACGCTGCATATACGCATCAATGGGCATTGCAGCCAAACAGTATCGTTATTTGGCTTAGGGCAAACCATACAAAATATATGCCTTGATCAGTTGAGGCTCGCGTTTACATGTACATGTTAGCCAAAAAAAACCCACCCAAATGTGAATTCCCACAGTTGACTGAAGCCTTTGTTGGGGTAATGGGCGGCGATCCCGGGGATTCCCCCCCCCCCCTCTCTTATTTTTGGCAGGGGAACGCCGATGTTGATGTCTCCCAATTTATCCAATGCGTATAAATTTCAACCCAATGTAGGCCTATTTTGCATTGTCTTTCTCCCAAAGGTTACTTGTAAAGTTCTGCATGTGCACCACAAGTTTTCATGAATATTACACAATATATTTGCGAATAAAGGACGATACTCCATATATGCATCTTTGAACAGCACCCTCTATAGTCAGGTGGTGACCAGTCCTCCCTCCCCTATCTCTCCCGTACTGGTGGATACGTCCGACTTAAAAATACATGTTAAGAACAATTGCCTGATTCTTGCCCCAGCAACTGGTGCTGATCCAACGGACGCAATATTAGATGCGAGCTTCAAGTTAATTAGGTGCAGTTGAGGGACAACTCGCCAGGACGGTTAGCGCACATTCGATTAAATCTGTGAGTTTCTGAACACTTAAGGTCTGTTTTCGCGCAGGGCGAAGCGAACATTACGTGTTCACATACAGTATTGCAATTTCCAAATGTGACTTATGTTCTTCCTTATACCTCCGTTGAAGGCAGTCGTTTCCTTCTAGAATATGAGTAGAAATATACCAGAAACCAGACACTATTTTGGCCTTATGTCTTCTGATAAAGCAAATCCAATTGATTGGCTTCTATTCATCACAAATAGCAGGATGTATACATAGTGCGCTATATCTCGAAATTTAGAAGTAAAGTTTGGTGCCAATGTCCATGACATCAGAATTACATGTATTGCCACCTGTTACCCGTTTGATGTGACTAAGAACTTCACAGTACATTACATTAATACCAAAAAGGGAAAATTTATCAGTGAATTCTTCAAACATTGCTTGACTAATTTGCCTTTGTTTGTGCCCAAAGTATGGTAAGAGATTTTTTAAATTGAACTATACGCACATCTCAATATTTTCATATTTTGATATACAAGGCCTACACTGAGAAGTTCGGGGCGCGTTCGCTCGGGCTAGCCTGCAAGGCCCACATTTTCCAGCTATAAGACCACTGGTACTCGCTGTTTGGTAACCGATGTGCAATGAATATTAACTACATACATGACGTCATCACAACGGTTTCAACCAATCTAAAGGCCGTGTCCGAATCACTTGGCTACTACCGAAAATATCACGCGCACCTATCGAAACCATGGCTTGCGGCTGCATGCAGCCACTTCACATAGACTCGACGTGTGTTTTTTGCCGGCCGTAGCCACGTGATTCGGCACGACCTCTTCTCACCCTAGAGCTAAGCCCCGCCCATATACTCGAGCAAATATAGCGCGCCTCCTAAACACTAGTGGAAGTCGACAAACGTGGGGTAAGGGGTCGGGCTTGCCAGCCAAACGAACAACCACTCACCCTCTGGGGGGGGGGGGGTCTAGCTCTATGTTCTCGTGCACGGAAGAATTAAGCAAATGACTTTCGCCAGACGGAAACATTTTTAATGTGACATCGCAATAAAGGCAGGCAATGAGTACACCACCATCTTTTCCTCAAAAAAAAATTGGTTAAAGTGGTCAGAAATTGCCTCAGATCGCACCACAGAACATCTAGAATCCAAAAAATTTTCGGGGCCCTTAAGCGGGCCCCGAACCCCACGCCGTAATTTTTTTGACCCACTTTTTGGGGGGACCACAAAAATTTTTGGCCCCCCCCCAAAAAAAAATTGTGTTCTTGATCCGCCCTTGGACGGAAATGACGGTCCCCTACTCGCACGCCCCTTCAACGATTGGTTTCTTCCAGTCGATTTAACCATACAAAAATATCTTAGGGGACTTGTTAACTTTCTTTGCCAGGTGGGTCTGCATGCTGGTTGGACGAAATTGGCCTCTGCCAAGCTGTTCTTCCTTCGATCGAGTAATAAGCCTCAGTCTTTGATAACTTCATCAATTATGTCTCCATTGTGTATTACTGTGTTGTCCTGCACTCTTATTACAATGATAAGGGGTTTTTCCTTGAGGTCTGCCGATGTCAACACCGGGCATTTAATCAGTGTGTCACACAGTTCGGACAGGCGGGATGTTCTGATCAAGCTCAACAGTGTCACGGCCACGGAGTCCGTGGCCGGATCCAGCCAGCGCAACGGCGTCATCGTTCGACGGGCGACAGACGGCCGGCATCTGGTGCAAACTCTGGAGGATTGGAACCACCAGGTCCGGGACTGTAGGGTCTCCAGCGACGCGCGGGAGATTCTAGATTTCGAGATGGCTACGGAGTCACGCATCGCCGAGCACATCCACCGAGTTGCGGCCGTCTTACCGCCGGCATCTCCCCGTGACTTCTCATTCGAATCGCCCTCCCGGTCCAGGGTCGACTCACATAATCTTACAGTCGAGAGGTTGCGTGCGAGCTTTGACGAAGACCAAACAAGTAAAGATTTCCTTCATCTGATGTCACTTACTGATGTTCAGAGCGCATTGACAGAATGCCAATTGCACCAGCAGCGGCTTGAGAAGGACTTCAACCGACAACCCGCCCACCAAACAGAGGAAGAGGCTGCCACAAAATCGGCAGAGCGGGGAACTGATGCCGGCACCAAGCGGGGTAGGCGATCGGCCTTCATGATACCGGGCACGCTGTGGTGCGGCCCGGGCAGCGATGCCGAGTCTTACCATGAGCTCGGCGAGGACGGCACGACTGACTCATGCTGCAGGGAGCACGACCACTGCCCCGACTCCATCCAGCGATGGAGCTCAAACTACGGGATCTTCAACTATCGCCTGTACGTCCTCAGCCACTGTGATTGCGACAGGAGGTAAGGAAATGTTTAGCTAAACCCAGGGAAAAAGTGGGTCATAATAAAGCCCCATTCCCGAACACGTCTTACTAGACCTAGAGAGGGCCGGCCTAGTCCTATAAACACAGTCACTTGTGATCCGGGCAGTACTATCGTATAGGATTACCCCCGTAACGCTAATGAATGTTCTAAATCTGGTCCATTTCCAATGCATGAAAAGACTTCCAGTTAATAGTCATCCTGATTTATTTATATATAATTTTGGGGCTCTGGGGCCAGCTAGACCTAAGTGTTGGTTTTTTTCTTCAAAGTTATCTATGTGACAGATTTAAGCAGTCGCTGTATTGTTCAATTCGCATTAAAAAAGTAGAAGATCATTTAAAAGTAGAATGTTGTTTCCACACATTCATCCTTTAAAATTTGGGCGTTTTGTGTTATTCTTGCGAGAATTGGGGGGGGGGAACTTGACTCTCAAAAAGAGCCATTTGGTGCTAGTCGTGAATCCTGCCGCGCACTTATACTGATGCTCTACCATAGTACTAGTGTATCGTTTTCTGCGGACGTGCAAGAAACAATATTTATGCATTCGTGCTGTGTGCATTACAATGTCACACACATACAACGTGTATGGACACGGCTGGAAATACGTACGCGTATGCCCCCAAAAATGTCCGTCGCGTCCGAGGCTTATTAAACAACTGGGATTTTTCGTCTTTTCTCAGGAACAGTGCGACATTAGGTTACTTTTCTCTCAACCAGAACCTTAAAATAAGACGAGTATTATCCAAAGCATACAAATCTCGGCGAGACCAGGCCGTAGTGCCCCTTTAACATGAACAATTGAAGTTGAGATGCATTAGACCATTGAGAAGAAAAAAAATAATGCTTTTTTGGTAAAGTTGAACGCCCTGAACCACCCGCTTTCGTCATTGACAACAAAGTGCAGCGCACACAGCGAAGCCCGGGCTCTGCTCTTTTCAATGTCAAGACCTAAGCCCAAGGCAAACTGTCCTTGAGATAATTAAATTGGATGTAATTTCAACATTTTGGTTGCAGCAAAAAGAGTGTATTCAGTTATCTAAACTGATACCCTGTCAACACCAATTTGATACCAAGGGTATTGATGTACATGTAGCCCTAGAAATCCGTTTCCCAACGATATTGTCCTGCCAGATCTATCAATCTGTGTTATTCGAAGTACCAGGCGCGGGTTCAGGGGAGGGGGTGGTTTGGGAGTCACCCCCCCCCCCTGCTCTGACCAAAAAAAGACAATTAAAGCGATAATAATCACCTATATGCCCGTCTGTCCGCAAAACTCGGACACGGAGGTGTAGCCAGCGTTGATATTTGCACACTATTGTGCATGATCGTCGGATTTGAACAGCGCCCCCATTGGAAGATGGTGCCATCTCCCCCCCCCCCCCCCCCCCCCCCCCCACTTGTTAAGTTTTCCGGAGAAAATACCTGTGTGCCTTAGGTTTCAGCACTGATTTGCTGATTACAGAAAAATCTGACAATTCTGTGCTAATTGATTTCAAATTTATACAGGTGCGCATTTTAGCAGGTTGATATGAATTGATTTAGTTTACTCAATCTTCATCGTTTTTCCTGGGCAGATTCAAGCAGTGTCTTCGTGACGCCAGAACCCGGAAGGCAGAGGTCGTCGCCGACTGGTACTTCAACATCCTCCAGCTGTCCTGCTTCGAATTGCACTACAAGCCGACGTGCGTCGAGTACCAGGGATGGTTCAGCAGAGGCGCGTGCCGGCGCTCCGAATTGGTCCCTTACGCCGAGATCGGTACGGTTGGGCCAATCGCCGTCCAGGACAGAGCTGTTAACACGACGCTGGTTTCCACATCTGTTGTTCCAGTCACTGACGGTGCCGCTGACGACGAGGATAAATCGAGCGATCAAAGCTTTGTGTCCACGGGTTCAAGTACAAGTGCAGCCAGCGACCAATGAACCCAATTGCCGGCATCTTTTGATTTCATCTTTCAACTTATGGACAAAACAGGTCCATTTTTTCACTCTCAATATTTTACCTCAAGAACAGATGCAGATGCAATGCAAGAGCTCTTTTAAAGCCATTTACTTTACCTGTATGTTTTTTTTGTTCAATACGCAGTTTATTTTCCAAAGAAAAAATGGTCCGAGATTGACATAACAGGTCAATTGTGCATTCCATCCTCAGGTTTTAAATACAAATACAATGCAACAGGAGTAGTCTGGGGAGGTTTTCAAATGACAGGCCCTGGTAAACGCGTCTTTGTCATTTCGAAAAGAGAAACACTTGGTGTCTGTAGAATAAAAGTACACAGACATTTTTTTTGTTTGGCTCCTTGAGTCCGACTCGAGTCCCATATTCCATGACTCGGACTCGGGACTCGGAATCGAGTCACAATGACAAATGAGTCGGACTCGGACTTGGACTCGACACTGCGGACTCGGACTTGGACTCAGACTCGACCTGCGTGACTCGGGACTCGACCAGCATTTACACTGTGAGGTTTTCAAGTTTATAGCAGTACCTCAAAATTTATTTCCAATGTAAAGTTGACTCGTGACTCGGACTCGAAATTTGTGACTCATGACTCGGACTCGGACTCGACCTGCATGACTCGGGACTCGGACTCGGGAGAAGTGACTCTGACTCGGACTCGATGTTTGGTGACTCGAATTCAAGTCTGGCCATTGTAGCACTGTGTGCTCTCGCCCAATAGTCCCATATACTTCAGTATTTTAATTTTTTTGGTGTTCAAAGATATCATCGAAAAAATCCTCATATTTGAAGTGCAAAATATAGTGTTTTATGAGACAATTATAAAAGACCTGTCGTGAAATTTATTGATACGAGATAATTTTTTTTTCGTTCAGAGGGTAGGACCTATAAATCATTCTTTGCTACTCTGATGCTGAAAGTTGATTGGGAAATGAACTTTTTATTTACTTGATAATATTCTTTTATATAAGTGCTAAAGTTGACTCTACTTTAAAATGGTTCCACTCGTTAAAAAAGCCTTTTTAATGGTAGAAGTAATTGTAGTTTTTATTAAAATGCAATTTTGCATTAAAATGTATGAGGAGGCCTGCGTCGCATTGTGCGGCTCTCGTCTGAATACGCAAAGGACGCCCTCTCGTGTCTGAAAAGTCTATACGGCTTTAATACATTAAGCGAACGGGAATTCAACATCATTGTACAGACGCCCCAAAAAATATGTCCTATACAAAAGTTTCGGACGGATTTTTATCGCCGATTGTTTCAGCACAGGATACCAACTTCCTTATCGGTGTATAAAGTTAGTAATTTACCAAAGGTCAAAGGTCAGTGCATTGTATGTCATTTGAAAAGCGATTGGTCACAATTTGTTTTAAAAAAAAAAATTTCGGTTAGGAATTTCATTTATTATCGACAAATGATAGATCTAAATATTTGTGGGGGAAAAAAAGCTCCCGTGGTAGAATTTTACAGATTATGAAAAGATAAGTATTGATCTTCGAAATAGCAGTCTAGGAATAAACAAGTTCTGAATGTGAAATTCCGTCTCGAATTTGACAATTCCTTTTGATCCGAGTATCATCCCTCTTTATATACCTGCATATTAGGTCATAGGTCAACTTGAAAGGGGTATACCTGCGGTTAAGATTTCAGCTTTTTGTCTCTCTATCTTATTATTCAACTATTTTTTTTCTGTCTCCCAATAACAACGGATCGACGCTCTTTCACCCGTGCCCATTGATGTCCACCCCCGCAATTTTTTTTTTTTATTTCTGCGCCGTCTGGCCGCGCGATATATTGCAGCGAAACCTAACAAACAACATGGACGACAGTATATTGGATGGAGAGCGGCGTACTTGTGCCTTTTTTTCCGCAATGCCACGCCGGCAGCTCAGACAGAAGAGAAAGGAGCCGGCTTTCCCACCCGTGGGCACTGGTGGGGCTCCTGGCCTTGGGTGGCCCGTGTGGTGAGGGGGCACGGGCGGCCTTGGGATGATGCAAAGTGGTGGGAGAGAGGCGTGCTAACAGTAAGAGCGGAGGTGAGGTGTTGGACGGCGTTGCTTGATGTGGGCTCCACATCATCACCGGGGCACGGCTCCCTCGGATGAGTGGGCGAGGCGCGGCGGGCGCTCGCCTGCCGGGGACACTGACACCCGTCGGTTATTGTTTCCGAGCAAGACAATTAGGCGCCGACTGCAACAACTTAAGAGGTAAGTAAATTGGCGAACCAGAAAAAAACCCCTGTTATTTCTCGATAAATATTTTCATTGAATGACACCTGCAATTGAAGGCCTACATGATAATTTCATTTTATTGGGGAGGGGGAGGGCGCAAACAAAGTGGTTGCTATATAAAGAGCTTTTGTGAATAACAACTTTTGGAACCTCTTCAGTTCTTCATTTAATTTCAAAAAAGGGTCTTATAATTATGCTGACGTGACGAATATTAACAAATTAACAATATTTTACCTTTTAACGAATGGTAATTAATATTCATTGTGTGATCATGCACAATACATAGTACTTGAAATGTCATGTGTCTATTTCTACAGACAGTGGGTGTCCAAGTACCCTTAAAAATAAATTGCCTCAAATAACCAAGAAAACACGGGCATATTTAGGGGTATGTGGGGTTAGCTGTAAGTACAACGACCCCTTACGTCCGACCAATATTAATTATTCACAGAGTTTAAAGCAAAGTCGCGAAATGTCATGAAATAACGTCATTGTAACGACACTTCACAAGTCGATTCTGAAAGGTCTTTGGTGACTGTGTGTGCCGACTTCAACACATCAGTTTTTATACCCCACGCCCCGCCCCCTTAAAAAAAAAAACAAGCTCATTCGGATCTCGGAAGCTGCGGGCCAACGAATTCTTGATCATGCATGAGTCACGTGATTGCACATGTAATTTCTGGAAGGGGTAGCTTTTATAAGTAACAAAACCAGGTTTTTAGACCCCAGTGACCCCATGATGACCTTTGACCCCAGTTTGGTCATGTGACATGTTTGGGCTTGGCTACTGATATTTTTGACAAAGTTTGGTTGAAATCGGTCAAAATATGTAGGAGCAATAGACAATGTCAAAGTTTGTTACTAACTAACGGACTAAACGGAGAGACATGGGCCCAATTTCATAGAGCTGCTTAAGCTGAAAATTTGCTTAAGCACGAAAAAACATTGCTTAGTAAAATTAGGTTACCGGCCAAAACTCCATGTGATGTACATTGCTTGTGACTGGTATTGAGCTGTTGTTTACTTAGCATAACAATCGCATGGAGTTTTGGCCGGTAACGTGATTTTATTAAGCAAGACGTTTTTGTGCTTAAGCAAATTTTGTGCTTAAGCAGCTCTATGAAATTGGCCCCTGATGATTTGTTGAGCTGCTATCCCACTTCATTACTGAAATACTGTTCTACATTATTTATATAGTACACTCGACTAAAAGCTATAGCGTATAGATGGTTGTTTCTGTCCGTGTACGGGTGACCTATGAACCAAATTTGATTCGGAAGTAAAAAGAAAACGAGTTTTGTTTTATTCACTGCTATTCAGGCTTTATTCATGAATCGGCCATATCGAACTGAAAGCGAGGTAAAAATCTTCATTTTTTGGGAACTTGCGAATAGAAATGAAAGCAATGAAATCAAATTAATTACAAATTATTACCAGTCCGCTCCGATGAATGATTTGAAATTTGTGATTAAACATACCCTAATGTTTTAAGCCACATTTAAAAAAAATTGGAAATGAGGCTTGGAATGCATAAATATAGTCTGGTACCATCCCATTCAACAGTTTACAAATTATAAAATACATCCAGGGAACACGAGCAAAAATGCCTTCCTCGTAAGAACGGTATAACGAGAGACAGAGAGAGAGCGCGCGCATGCGCTGCTGGCTACATAATTTGACATTAAAGGTGCAGTGTTTCAGGAGATCGCCAAAAATAAATAGTGTTTTGGCTTGTTGTCTAGTAATCATTACTGTCCAAGTAACGGATTATGGGAATCAGCAAGGGACCTTATTGATGGAGAAAATGTCGAAACCGCTGTTTGTATCTGACGTGGCATCCCTTAATACGCATTTCCAGCGGTGAATAAAACCATTGAATTTTGAGCCAAATTCACGTCAACATCAGACGTCTGGAAAAAAAAAAAGTGTGACTGGAATATAGACTAGCAATCCTATCAGGCTCGAATTCGGAGGAGCGATTTTTTTTCTACCCTGAAAACGATACAAAATCCAGACAAAACTGCTCCTTTAAGTAATTGACTCTAAGAAGTGGAATTTGACGATGAGGCATGTATTTATTTTACTGTGTTTAACTTTTTTTGTAATAACCTCGGCCCGATTGCAGTCCGCCCATTATCCTTATACAGTACATCGAGTTTGCGGTTGTGCATATTTTCCATTTATTTTTCAGCTCCTTCAAAACGATTCGCTTCGTGAGTTTTATGACCATAGTGCAAAATGACTGCATTTAGCTCATTTGCATATACAGCAAACCATATTAGGCCAAGTAAAAAAAACACCATGTTTCTCGTTCGGGTTTTTGAACAAAAGGAGGAAGCAGGGCTTTTTATTTTTTATTTTTTATTTGTTTCAAGATGGCCGTCATTTAAAAATTTCCTGCAACCGTTGGTGTTTCCACTGTTCAAAGACACTTTTAAAATGAAAGATAAGTTGGACAAGAGAACTGAACATATTTACAGTGTCATTTAGACTTGTATTGGTCTACAATTTATTTTCCGATGAATTTGTGGACTTTTTCGGTGTTTTTTTACTGCATTTTTCAAAAATAAAAAATAATTAAAAAAATCCAGGCGGCCTCCAAAAAGGAAGCGGGCGGGACGAGAAACATTTTTTTTTTTTACTTCGCCTTACCGGTGATTTGTTTTAATTATTATTTAATTTTTCAACAGTGAATGCACAATAGTTCTCCTTATGCATTAATTCCCTGTTGAACACTGTATAGTGCCATTATATACGAAGGGACTGTTTTTTTTTTCAAAATAATTTGTATAAGTCAGATGTACCGTTTCCCTATACCGATTTAAAAAAAAATTGAAAAGGAACAAAACGAAACACCAAAAGTGTAGTGTCGTTGTGAACTTTAACATTTAAAGGAAGTACATGTATCGTTTACTCTGCTTTAGAGTTGTTGAAAATGCCACTTCGATCCAAACCCTATAAACGCATCTGGCTATCAGGAAGAAACACAGAAACCCGGACATATAACCAGCTGGGTTTTTTTATAGAATTTTGTAATATTTAGGGTTCCAAGAAACGATAGTATATTGATTCTGTATGATACAACTAGATAGGGCCCACGGGATGTGAATTAGTTGGCAGAAATTGTCCAGGTTTCGTCTAAAGGGCACATAGGGTTATTTGCTTTTCTTGCATTTTGATTCGTTTCTGATAATAAAACCGTTAAAAATCCACAAAAAAATCTTCAAAACCTATACCGATTGAAGTTTTAGCTCAGTGGGTATTACACTTTTCGTAGAA